ATTTGACATTTATTTGTAAAATAAAAAACAGAAACTCAGGTTGATAATTAATCTTTAATTTGTGAATAATTTGCTTAACAGTGTCAAAAAGCAGTTTGAAAATAATACCGACTTTGGAGAGACTTTGCTAACATTAGAAAAATTATGGAATTGCCGTGCCAAATTGTGCAAAATCGTGTGCATTGGAATAAATTTTAAGAGAATTAGAAAAATCCATAAAATTTTTGGGTTGCATAGACGTTGCCTAGTCATTCGAAGGTCATATAGAAAAAAAATCGTCTCAGTCATATTTTTCCCATATTCTACATCCATTCAGCTTCCATTTGCAACCAGGCTCATGTTTTTATCTACTCTCTGAGTCAAGATAATTGATTTTTGTACAAACAAAAAAAAATGATACATAGCGCGCCCTCTACAGGCAACGTTATGCATTGAATATGTTGTAATTTTTTTGCCCACCCCCGTATACAACTTTTAGTAACAAAATATGACATATTGGACTGTTTTGAACAAAAAAGGTATACTTATTGAAAATGGCCGTTGAGGAGATATTTTTAATTTCATAAATTAGTGTTATGGATTTATACCTCCACGAATACTACGGTACAAACAGACACTTTTGTTAATAAATTCAGAACGCATTGCCTCAGAGTACTTATTAGTAGTGTATCTTCTGTATTTTAAAATTCGACCAAATGGGGGCGCAGGAATCAACTGAAACAACATTATTTTTCCTGTTTTAGATTTACTTTACTCTTTTTGTTTATTATTTTAGCATGTACACTTGTTGCATAATTTCTATTTAATTGTTTTTTCGGTGTATATTAAAAACACATTTTCTTGTGCACGTGGAAATATTTAAACTCTGCATTAAAGAAATCTCATATGAAATAATAGTTTAGGTAAAAAAATATTGCAATATACTTATTTATTGTTAGTTTAATAATAAAATTATTAGAAAAAAGAGCAAAACAACTAAAACCAAGATTCACTTAACAATAGTCAATAGATAATTTAAGAGAAACAATTGGCTGACAATAAAAAAAAGATTTTTTGAAGGGAAGAATAAACGGACCAATAAGATAATCTCCTATGATTCCTGTCCATACATTTAAACTAAAATTTTGTTGAAATTTGGATGTACAAACTTGGTGTGGATTTTCGTCAGACCATGAGTGATTATTGTAATGGTTCACTAAACCAAGTCTTTAAAATGACGCTTCATCACCAAACAAAATACTGGATAAAATATTTCTGTTTTCCCTTGAAATGTTGATATACCATTGACAAAATCCTGTTAGGTAGATCCGCAGCAGTCAATTCCTGCACAGGTTGCAGATGGTAGGGGTATAAAAGATTATTATCATTCGCAATTTTCCTAATCGTAGTATGTGAAACGTTATACTGTGTCGCCAATTTTCTGGTACTAGTTTCAGAATTCTGATCTTGTAAATTGTTAAGGACAACTTCTTCAAGTTCCACATCGGAAATAAGACGTCTTTTGCAAGTACCTTCAGGAGGAGGTTGAATGTGTTCGTTTCCTCGAAGTCTTCTTTCTATCGCTGCAAAAGTTTTTCTAGCAGGAACACGACGATTGGGATATCTGGCATGATAAAGTCGTACAACAGCAGCACAGTTCTTGTAACATTCAAAAAATACTTGCTACATACTCGTCATAAGTATACATTTTATTTATTTTATTCAATTCCAAAACTATTTAATATCTAGGATGCAGATAAAAAGTGACTAAAATCAATTAACACTTTAAACTAATAATTCAAAATTGCAATTTACGAGTATTATCAAATGACATTTGATCGATGACTCGATTTTCTTATTTAAGCAACTCGAACCTTGGTATTCGTGGAGGTATAAATCCGTAACACTAATTTATGAAATTAAAAATATCTCCTCAACGGTTGGTTTTAGCCATTTTCAATAAGTATACATTTTTTGTTCAAAATAGTCCAATATTTCATATTTTGTTAATAAAAGCTGTATACGGGGGTTGGCAAAAAAGTTACTACATATTCAATGTATAACGTTGCCTGCAGAGGGCGCCTCGTACTCGACACTCAAAAATCATTATTATATTATTTTTCCCATCATTAAAAAACCTCTCTGTTGAAAATTTGAAACATTTCTGACTAAAATTATAGAAATTATTAAAGAAAAACCATTTTTTATTTTTCACCTTGACACCCTGTATCTTTTTTATTATGCGACTTGGGATATAGGTATGTTAGGTTAAATCGACTTATTTTCACCCAAGGAATCTCTGGTATCATTTGTGCCCCTCCATTTAAATACACCCTGTATATTATTCTTCTCCATAAGTATTATGTATCGGTTTCCTTGGGGTGGGCCAAGGGTTGTAAGATGTATGGAGGC